AGATACCTATACTGTAGATAGGTCTTAGTCATCAGGTCCACTCCACTTCCTTGTTGCCTGCTTAGACTCTTGGCACTCCCAGGTGAGCAGACTTAGTCAGCCTGTGTTGCCCTAACACATTTAAAGGTCGGATCCAAGCTTGAAATTTGGATGTGCAGCACACTACTACAGCAAGTGGCAGCAAGCATGACATGATGCACTCAGATTCAGCCTGGATGATCACTGGCAATCCTTCACGAGAGATCACTAGGCTGTCTGTTGGAGTTCTCTTGATGTCTTGCTTGCTATCAGAACTTGTAGATGGTTATCCAAGAACGTTGATCTGTTGCTTTGTACACACTTCCAGTTCTGATGATCAGCACTGCTGAATGGATTCAGAATATTGGGCGATCTTTGTATGGCACACAGATGTGGGTCTGGCATCCAACAAGGTGATGCATGCTTGCCAGAAGGGGAGTTTGTCCAGCCTTATTGGATATGTTGACATCACTGCCTGTCTATGAATATAGTAAATCTTGGTGCTGCTTCTCCAGCTATGAAGTTGATCCTCTTACCTCTGATGAGTCATGCATTCACATAGTCTTGTCTGGAAGGATGGAGAACCTCAAGTACTGAGCACTCACAGCTAGAGATGACAAAAGAAATGTTCAGTTGGTCTTCAGCCAATATTTGGATAGGATGCAATCTGTCCTTGGCTGGTATTACCTACCCTTATCAACACTGAGCCTGAAAGTTGTGAACAGCTGCCACCAGTTGGAAGGATCAAACAAAGGACCTAACATGCTACATACAAGCAAAGTTCTGCCTTGAACACTAGCATGTTCAGTGGTCCCCTGATGCGAGTTGAAGCTGAGATGATCACAGTTTTCTCAGTCAACATTGATTTCCCATGTTGCAAACTGTGCAAGACAGGTGTCTGATATGACACTTGTTATCACATAATCCCATTAGTCAAACTCACTATCTATCTGACATGCTTGACTGTCAAATAGGTCAAACACTCCCACATGCTGGTCCGGGAGTTCAAGTCTGACTCCTGGTCTGATTGACCATCAGTCAACCAACACTGAGCTCCCCCTAACCATCTCCTTACTCTCCTCTGCAACAACTTCCAGAATTTGACTGTGCCCTCCTCAGACTGCTTATACCTCCACAGGACGGGACGTTGTCCTAATTTATTTCTTCTTCTCCCATCAGCTTACCCAGTTTTTTTTACCTCTCCCAGGCAACAAACCAGGGTCTGTGCTTCTGATCTGGTGGTTCCCCAACCCCATTTTCCTGGAATAATGTGTGATGACACATCCAAATCACAAATAGTTGCCATATACTGGGAGGCTCCACAACTGTGTGAGTAAAGGAAACCCTGAGATAGCTGGAGGAAGCAAGGGTTGGTCTGTCATGTGAACAGAGGGGGGAGGAAAGGAAGAGAGTAGGGAAGAGGAGAAGGGAAGGAGGAAAGGTGCGATGTTTGGTGCCTGAGCGGCAGAAGCGGGTTCCGTGTTAACAGCATGCCTAAAAGCGGGGCGCGGGCCGATGTGCGATAGGGATTGAGCTTCCCGAAGCAGGGGATGAACGAAGCCGTGATATTTTCTTTGTTTTCCCACACGAGATCGGCGCGTTATGAACCGTTCTGCCGATGCCGTGTGCGCCGCCGAAGTTGCGCCTTCTCGGCAGACAGGATGCCTGGTTAAAAGCGCAGGGGTCCCCAGCTTAAAATGCTTTCTGTAATGTCCGAAGCCCCTAAGGCGGTGCATTCTGGCCGGTGCATCTCCGTCTTCTATTGAACTCGATCGCCCTCCAGCCTGGCCCAAAGGGACTGCCCTCTTCCCTGGAAATTCAAGACAGAATAAGGGCTCTCGACCCTTGTCCAAGTGGGGAAGATGCGCTCATTCCCTTTCTAATGCATCCACGGTCCGTGAGCGAGCGGAGTTTTATGCTCCGCACCAGGCCAGAACATATATTTACTCGCTTTCAACACCTTTACGCATCTCTAGGTAGCTCTGCCCCTCTTATCTACTCCCACTTCTCATCTCATTCATCGCGCATATACCTTCCTTCCACCCAACTGTCTCTGCGTCGCCGCAGCCGTTCACTCTCCCCTCGTGCTGCTTCCGTGCTCCCCCTACATACCCCGCACCTCGACATCCTCACCATGTCTCACCCCTCCGGATCACGCCCCCCCGTCTCCCCCGTAGCAGGCGCAGACACCGTCGTCCTCTCCTCCTCCAAGCCCCCTCCGAAAGGCGCCCCCAGACTGCCCAAGACGCTACTCAAAGCCCATGCCCAGGGACCGCTCACGAGCCCACCGCCGTTCGCCGCGGAGGGTAGGCCCGCCCAGCCGAGAACGGAGAGCAAAGGGAACGTCAAATGATGCGTGTCGTTCGTACTGCTGTTTGTGGTGGGAGCATGCGGGGAAGGAGGGAATGAGGAAGAAGAGTGATCGCGGATGGCCGCGCTCCCCGCGAAGGTACGCTTTCGCTTAGGCCTTATTCTGCAGGAGACTTTGATGTACTGATGAAACCCCGACTCTCCAGTGCGTTCTTGATTCCCGCGCATATACAAGCTGTATGCGATATGTATGTGTGGAGCCGGCTCGTCACTCGAATGATCAAACCAAAAACTGATGGCGGACGCGTCCCTGCACTCTCCGACCGACAATAACTCGCATACAATACACTTTCCACCCTCTCCGTCCACGTCTAGGCGTTCACCCTCTCCCCGAGTCCACGCCGACCCTGCCCGGCCTGGAACCGCCCCTGTACATCCTACGTTCATCATTCTGTCGATGCCGTGTTCAAACTCTTGTCCGGACCCTGCGTTGCCTCTCTCTATACCCGATATGTTGTTGTTTTCCGGATCTTGTGCTTTTGGTTTCTTTCTCGCTTGTTGGTCTCTGGAAATGTAGAGCGTCGAACGACGGCGCATATATGCGCTTTATTCTTCTCAAACAATCGGCTTTCAATGTACACCATCTCTCAGCTCTTCCCAACCACTGCCACAAAAAGAATGCAATACCACAAGTTACTCCGCACAGAATAGCTTGAAGAAAAACGTCATCCCGCATCCGGAATCCTCCATACCGCACGTGGCTCAACAATCACTTACCAAAACCAGTGTCGTAACCGACCAATGCGTAACCTCATTCTCATCCTGTCCTGCAGTTTCCCACCTTCTCTAACACGGTCCAATACAATGCTGTCGTCCCACATCTTACATCTCGCGCTCCGGCCACAACCCGCATACTGCAGCCCGCTCCGCAGGCACTTGGGCAGTGGATACTTGGGCAGACCCCCGAGGTACCGTGGGACCACCTAAAGTGCTGTCAAGGCACAATTTCCGGTGCCTGACGGCACGCGGATATTGTTTGACAGTCAGCGCCGACAGATCGGGTATGCACAAGCTGGGAATGACATTGCCATCATAGTCACCTTGGGGGCTTGATCGGGCGTGATCGATGCGGGCGATCTGGAGACTCCTCAAAGCGTAAGATCTTCTCCTTGCATATCCGACGTCAGCCTCAACCTCAGCCTAACACTCCCGCAACGTGTAATTGAATGTACTTGCTTCGATTTCTCAGCCGTCTCCTACCTTAGGCAACCCATCCGTTCCCCGTCCCAATTCCGAAACCGGCACGTTCACGCCTAGTTCGGTCAGAGATTGGCCTGTGATCCTCGGGATTGGGCTGATATCCCTCGGGCCGAATTCCACGCGATTATCGGCGCCGCTGGTTTCTGTTCCTCTGGGGAACTGTACAACATCGCCTGGCCTGTCCCCTACGTTCAGAAAGTAACATGGCCCAGGTTTTCAAGGTCCATCGTCCGACTTGCCCAGCGACATTTCCCTATTCTGGGGAAACCTTCACCCGCGAGGACCAGACTCCAGATCCGGAGTTTTATGCCAGTCCCAGGTTCGTGCATCATATCGACGACCGATGCCGTCTTGCTCTGCAGGAGTACTATGCCGGAGTGTTACCAGAGCCTTTGCCACTCAGTGCAGAAAACAGCAGTGAGAGCAAAACTCGACCGAGGATACTCGATCTCTGCTCTAGCTGGACGTCCCATCTCCCGAACTCGTATGCCCCACCGCATACATACGTCACTGGGCTGGGTCTTTCTGCCCCGGAGTTGGCCGCGAATCCTCTGCTGTCAAGGAGAGTCGTACATGACCTCAACGTCGATCCTATTCTTCCTGTCGAAATGACCAAACTGGACGTCAGAACAAAGGCAGAACTTGAGTCGAAAGACGCACCGGGACACTATGAAGGAACCGAGGCCGCGTACGACGCTATCATATGTACCGTAAGCGTGGACTATCTCGTCCACCCGCTGGAAGTGTTCTGCGAGCTGGCTCTGGTGACGCGAGAAGCAGGCACGGCACATATGGCCTTCTCTGATCGATGTTTTCCTAGCAAGGTGCAGTTTCTCCATATTCCTCCAGAAGGTGCTCAAGAAAAGTCAGGTCATACGCCGCTGGCTTGAGGTGGGACCAGCGGAGAGGTGCGAGATGGTCGCGTCCTATTTCTGGTTTGCGGGCACTACGGGCGAGAAGCCTTGTGAACCAGGCGTATTGTGAGATCACGTCGAGGTGATCACCGTTTTGGAGCCGGGGGAGGAAGGAGATCCTCTTTGGGTCGTGCGGGCAAAACGGACTGAACGAGGCGTACTACACTGAGGATACTGCACAGAACAAGAGGCGAGTTAGAGGAGAGAGAGGATACATTTCTTGTATGCATTATAATACAATGTAAGTTACGATACCTACCGCTGTCGCCCCCACCCTATATGTCTGGTGAGCTCAAGGCTCCTTCTCGAGGCCTTCCAGCTTACTTGCAATCCTTGCGCTCCTTCTCCTAACTGGAATCATCCCGGGCACACGTTCTGTATCCGGCCTCAGCTCCCCATCGTTGGCTACATCCATCACCGGACTCGGACTACGACTGGGTAGTCTCGAGCTATTAGGTGTTGGTGCCAAGCTGCTCTCCAGGCTCACACTCCTGCGTCTTTCTCCCCTCTTCTCTCCTTCATGCTCCTCATGTTCTGCCTCCTTCCCTGCTCCTGCTCCTGTACCGCTTACCCAAGACAGCGCCCACCACTTATTCGGTTGCCTCTTCTTCGCACGCATGCGTTCAAATCCAGCTCGGTGGGCTTCATATGCATCCTTGAAGGTCGGTGAGACACGCGCGGAGAAGATTAGCTCGCCCCGCGGGTTAGAGGCAGGAGGAAGGGGTTGAAGCGCCGAGCGGGAGGCGTGGTGCGGAGGTGAGGGTGCAGACTGTGTCGGAGGGTGAGGAGGGTGAGGTGGACTCTGGAAGAGGAGAGAAAGTGGATATGGGAAGATCGACGGCGAGCGGATGTTGAAATATAGGTTGAAGGAACGAAGCGCTCGATTTGCTGACGGTACGTAGCTGGGTGTGCATCAGATGAGAGATCTTAGAAGTTATAATGCTCGCACCGATTCGCATATCCTATCTTCTCCGCATATGTCCCACTCGCAAAGAATAGAACCAGCGTAGTGCATGCGATGAGTAGCAGACCGGGCGTCACGTAGGGATGGGGGATCCAAATGGGCTCCCATAGTGGATGCTCGGCTTTTAGGGCGAAATTGATCGGGTAGGAGGTAAAAAAGGTGTTGAACAGCACGTCAGACGTGAGAAGAGAGATGTATATTAGGAGTACGAGAAGGAAGACTAAGGTGCAGACCTGACATCAGAATTCTGGTGGACAGGGAGATTGGGGCAACGCACATTGGTATCGTGCTTTCTGCTTCTTTAACCTCGCATTATTCGTTTTGAGCCGCTCCTCGAATCGAAGAAGATCTTTGAACGTCGCATGGTCTGCCGGTGGATAATACGATGCGGGTTTTGCCCGCGGTGGCATGGGGGGAGAGCACTGGTTAGATGGAAGAGTGGGGGACGACACGAACTCAGGGCGCGGTCCCCGCCAGGATGGTCGGATAATTGGTTCTGCCGTGATAAACATTCTTTATTAATAACATAATTATTGATGGGATTCTTTGCCACAGTTTCTACATTCAAACGAACGTACACTATTGCGTAATCTACCTTGCATCGTTGTCAATCTCCTCGATGTAGTGGAAGATAGCGCTCAAAGCGATCAGAGCAAAACTTCTTGCTCCAAATTCGAATCCCCGAGATCTGGAATGGTCCCAACCCGCATACGCGCGCTCTAATCTGACACGGAGAGGGTCATCTTCGAGGCCTTGAAATTCGCTGCGTACCGAATTCACAAGGTTCGTTATTTGGAGTCTCAGTCGGTACACTCGATCGAGACGTATCTTCGGATGGAAGGCATTGGAGAGAATCACGCCCATCACGGCTTCGCCTTCTGTGGCTTCTTGGGTTCGGGGCCCTGTACTTGTAGTCAAACATGCATGGCGCAGTTCTTCGACATAGCGATCAAATAATTCGGGGGTGTTAGGCAGTACCAAGGCTGAGACACTGATGTATTTCGTGACCAAGTCGCGGACACGGTGGAAAAGGATGTCCCCGTCAAAACCATTCGTTTCGGAGAATGTGGATTCTTCCCTTATCGCATCAAAGTCTATTTGCAAGTCGGGCTCGCGAAACATGTGACCAAGTGCTCTCTGACTCTGATAGAACTTGGTTGACTGTTTCCCCACTTGCTGTTCGCGTTGCAGATAATCAGGTTTCATATCATTTAGCAGGGACGGTATTTGGTCTTGATCGATTGGCGTGCCCGTCTTTGCAAAGTCCAAAGCTAATGCGTACAGCTGCGCGAGCTGATGACAATTAGAATATTTGACGCCGTCAGGATGTTGATCTGCCAGGATCAGATGTTCGGTGGCAAGTCTACCAACAAGATCCTGAATCAAGCTTCTGAGCAATGGGTGGCAAGGTGGAGGGGTGTAAAACACATACGTTGTTGACGTAATCAATGATAAAGTCGATGACATCGTTCATCGTACAATCTCTATCGAGCTCGGCTCGCTCTGCCGCCGTGTAATCGTCTGGATCTGCAGGGTACTGTGGAAACAGAGATGAATATTGAACGACGTTAAACTCGTCTGTTCAGAAGTCAGCAAAGTTCTGCGGAGTCTGTAATTTTCATACCTCCATCCAAATCGCCACCTCCAAGCATTGATGGGATGGGCCGTACACCTAAGTTCAGCTACCTCAATTGCCCCGAGGACCTTTGAAGATGAACATACCTCGACAAGAGAACACAACGCAGTTTTTGAGAGGGTACGGCCCTAGCATGAAAGGGCAATCTGGCGGCGGCCTTCCGATCCCTGTAACAAACTGGGCATCGCCGGGGCCTAAGGAGGGCGACTTTGTCACAATCGCGGGACCTTCAATCCAATGTGGTTCGGGATCTCCAGGTTTGTGGATGCACGCTTTCCAAATTTAGTAGGGCATACCATGACTATGACATGGTACTAACCATAGATCTCATTTTTTCCCAGCACATCGTGCTCGTCGGCCACGCCAATTAATGTCCAGCTGTTGGGGACCGGTATGCGGGCCCGGAACCGAATTTCCCGGAGGGCATTTGCTTTTCCTACGTCTATGATATGTTTGAGAAAGGGATCGTAGAATGTAGTGAGCCCTTGTCCTGCTTCGAAGTCGAGGCCAAGGATATCGTGAATATTACGAAGAATCAACCTGATCCAAAATGTGCCCCCGAGCCCATATGTCTCCGTCATGATTGAAGCGCGGATGAGCGACGACTTGGAGTCTTCAACGGCTTTGACTGCATTCCTTTGAAGTGTTAGGAAGACATCCGCATGCACGCCTCGAGATTCAAGGAGCATAATGAAAGGTCGGTTCAGAAAGAAGGGCCTCGGCCGTTCGAACGATTTTGCGATTTCGAGGCCGAGGGAATCCGGTGCGTCGAATTTGTTCATGGACGGCCGAACTTGCATAACCAGTCCTGGAAGCAAGGGATTCAAAGACAGGAGGCCTTTGTTTCCACCAAGTCGAAACTGGAACACTGTGGCCGGGAAGTCTATCTTGGTACGAAGATGAGGGCGATTCTCGACGAGGCGTTTCCAGGTACCCTCCAACAGCTCGAGAGACATGCCTCCTACTCCGTCCGTGAAAATTAATTTGTTGGCCTTGTTAATTTTATCTGGTATTTCGACGATATTTTCGGGTTTTAGGACTATCGACGGCTCAGTAGCCGTGAAGGCCTGAGCCAGTCTGGCGCCGTACCGGGCAGGACACTTGGAAACTCGACTGAAGTCCCCAAGACGATCTCGAACTCTGTTCGCAGTCATGAGACCTAGTACTGGATGATCGAAAGGAGCAACCATCCACACGGAATGTTGTCGTAATGCCGAAAGAGAATAAGCTAGGAACTCGAAGTGTCGCCCAGCCAACGTGACACCTTCTCGCAGAATCGTCCCGATCCTATAACCGACGAAGAGTCGTGAATCGACATCGCGGTCATTGTACAGTGGAAGGTGATCTTCACTAGCAAAACTGAGCCGCAGGAAGTAGTGCTGATGTTCTGGGTACGCTCTCAGAACGCTGTTGCTCTGGTCCAGATAAGGTCCTTCTAAATGGATACAAGTTGGAGTGACGATTGCGGCACAAGCTCGAATCATGCTGTCTTGTCCGGGTCGTTGCTTTTTCTCCATGGAGCTCGTACCGGCCACAGTCTGTAACATGTCACAGATTGGAATAGGAGAAGCTTCGGACTGGCCATGCATGGTCAGAGCTGTATATTGAGCTCGTTGCATGCGATCTGCAAATAGACCCAAGAGTCGTGCCAGTCTATCCGGTTTATCCTGATACAGCTCAGCGAGCTGATCAATGTTCGGTCGCAAAGATAAAATTTCGTTCGGGTCCAAAAGACCATTCATATAGAGAGCAGAGACTTGAAGCGCTACGCGGAGGTCTAATGTGCCTGCCCATGTGTCGATTGTATGAATCTTCTCGAACAGATGCAGTCGATCTGCATCGATCGAAGTAAATCGACCCTTCACCACAAAGCGGAACGTGCGCAGTGCTGCGTCCCGAAACTGGATCAACGATGGCCGATCCTGGAAGACTATTCGCATGGTGTTGCTCATGTATGGAGCTAACGGCGCGTGGGTGCAGTCATCATGGAAGGAGATGAAGTTGAGCTTCAGCCGAGTTCCACGACCGCTGGCAGTGGCTCGCATCTGTTCGAAGGAGGGTGCGACTTCAAGATGGAACATGGCGGAACATTCTTTGGTTATCGTCCCGTCGTCCCATATCATACTGAGAATACGCGTCCAGGATATAATAACGGCATAGCGAATGTTCTCCAGACAGCGCGTCTTACTGAAACGTACTTCGATGTTTCTTTGAGGTACGTCGAACACGATTCCCGGCTCGTCTTCCCTGGACACAGCGACTTCCCATTCGATCGAAAATCGATTGCTGAATCCGCCATCCTCGTTACGCGGTCGGCGACCGAATTGAAGCGCCCCAAACGGGACGGGGTCTCCGATGTCCTTCTCCAGCTGTCTTTCATCGTATTCAGCCTTTGGATCAACAAACGGCAGAGTATTGAGTTCTTCCACGCCTCGGGGGAACGATCGGTCGGAGAACTTCTGGAAGCGAAGGCTCTGGCCTGCCAAATGTATGACGCGTGCCGGTTGGAGGGGTGGACTGGGAGATTTCGGGGATGCAGAGCCTCGCTAAGCGCCCCTTGTACTACGATCACGGCCATTATCATGACCGTTACTACCTGCACGTCCATTCTCTCGCCAATTTCTATCGCTCGATCCAGACCGATGCGAGACCGTCCCATAAAGTTCCAAGAAGCTCCACGCAATATCTTTGTTGGGAATAGTCAATCGACCCTTGCCGGTGTGGTACTGCGGGTTATCACGCTTCGTCTTAAGCTGAACATCAAAGTTCAACAGGGGAGTTGGATCATCTGGCTGGCGAAATGGCGGGCTGTGGAGAATCTCCGCAATCGCAATCTTCACCTCAACTTCCTTGGTCTTTTTCTCTACATTCCAGAAATCGATATCCATCTGTCGAGGCACTAAGTCACGTCAATGAGATCTTTCATTGTGGTTTTGGAAAGATGCCTTACAGTTTTATGTGAATGAGGATGGATGAAAGGCGCACAAAGCAAGGAGACACGCGTCAATGGCGCGTTGTTCGGCTCAAAGACACCTCAACACGTGGCGATTCCATCAATGTCCGGGCCGGTCTCAGAGGCTCGCAAAACATACACAACTGGGTTGTCACGGCTCCCGGATCCATCACATGTGAAAATCCAAATTAGTTCTTTTACAACAAAATCTGTCAACTTCTTTATTCGATCAGATGCTAGGACGACAGAAAGCAATTGCGTTCGATTATTATACATTGTCAGCGTTTTTCCTTTAACTGGAAACGTAATGGCGGAAGGGTGACTATATATGTGATGGTACAAATGTCGAAAATGAGATTGGGAATGGAAGTAAACCGTTGACTCTGAGTATTCATGTCTTGCCTGATGCATCCTTGTTCGCTGGGTCGCTCGGTGGTGCCGATGGCGGTACACCCCACTCTGGTGTACCTTCTGGGCGCTGTATACGAACAGGTTCCCAATTGTCCAGATCGATCTTGCTCTCCCCTGCTTGTAGTCGCTGAATCGATGTGTCAGCATATCATTACACGTGGACGAGAATGTTCAGACGTACGAAATATTCCTCCCGTATATCTACCTTTTTCCTATTTTTGCTCATCTGCAACTCCTCTTCTTTCGTTACCTACATATGTTGAGAATCGATTTCAGAATGATGGTACAAAGAGCGCACCTTTGTCGTCTTGTTCCTCTGGTAATCATAACGCGTTTGCGTAAGCGTCTGGAGACCGAAGGATGCAAAGACGATCAAGGTGAGGAACGGCAAACCAAACAAGAGGAAAGGTTGTTTGCGTATCGCCCCAGTAAACGGTAGGTGATTGCTCCGTCTTCGAGAAGTGAACGCCGCCATGCTGAGTGCTCTGGTCCACTCGTGTGAGCGCTCAACGTGCTGGCCAATGGGGACTCTCCGGAGCCGAGTGGAGAAAATCCGCTCTTCTTTTCCTTCCGAGTCAGGGTCTTCTCCTCGTCTTCGTCGAGCGACCTTGCAACATTTTCACCATGCCGCGTGCGTACCCATTGTCCGTTGTTGAAGCCCAAACTGATGAGGGGATGCCATGATAGCCCTAGCCCTCACGGAGGGCGTGACAGTGGTCCTAGGTACCCAATGGGGCGACGAAGGCAAGGGAAAGCTTGTCGATATCCTCGCTGCGAACGCCGATGTCTGTGCTCGCTGTGCTGGCGGGAACAACGCCGGGCACACCATCGTCGTCGCGGACGGGAAGAACGGCAAGGTGAAGTATGATTTTCATATGCTGCCGAGTGGTGCGTCCTAGTTCTGCTGTATCCGACGTTTGTTGAAGAGGCGCAGGTCTCGTCAACCCCAAGTGTATCGGCTTTATCGGCAATGGGGTGGTGATTCACATCCCATCTTTCTTCTCCGAGCTCGAGAAACTCGAAGCGCAGGGACTAGACTGCGCTGACAGGCTATACATCTCCGACCGCGCACAGATCGTATTCGACTTCCATCAGATCGTCGACGGCCTGAAAGAGGTCGAGCTGGGCGGCTCCTCAATCGGGACGACGAAGAAGGGGATCGGCCCCGCTTATTCGTCCAAGGCTAGCCGGAGCGGGCTGCGTGTGCACCATTTGCTCGCGAATGATGGAGGGAACAGCTTTGCGGACAAGTTCAGGAAACTTGTTGAGGGGAGGTTCAAACGATATGGACACTTTGAATATGATACCGAGGCTGAAATCGCGCGGTACAAGGTATGCCAACGCGTTTTGTCCTGCACTCACTCTGAGAGCACGCATGTAGGTCCTTGCGGAACGTCTCCGGCCCTACGTTGTCGACGGCGTTACCTGGATCCACAAAGCCCTTGCGGACGGGAAGCGTATCCTCGTTGAAGGGGCCAATGCCCTCATGCTGGATATCGACTTTGGCACCTACCCGTTTGTCACTTCTTCCTCTACAGGCATCGGGGGTGTGATTACCGGTCTCGGCCTGCCGCCGAAAGCCATCGGCCCCGTCATTGGTGTCGTGAAAGCATATACGACTCGGGTTGGCGGCGGGCCGTTCCCGACCGAGCTGTTGGATGTGAGTCTCTCCTTTCCGACCTCTCGCACTTAAATAACACATTTGGCAGAACATTGGTCACCACCTCCAAGAAGTTGGCGCTGAGTGGGGCGTCACCACCGGCCGTCGCAGGCGCTGCGGCTGGCTCGACCTCGTAGTGCTCAAATACTCGTGTGCGATCAACGGCTACTCCGTGCTGAACCTGACCAAGCTTGACGTGCTGGACGACCTAGAAGAGCTGAAGATTGCCGTAGCATACGAAGTCGACGGGCGGGAGCTACCCGGGTTCCCCGCGGACCTCGAGGTGCTTGAGCGCGTGAAGGTCCGATATGTCACAATGCCTGGATGGAAAACGAGCGTTGCCAATTGCAAGAAGTTTGAAGAGCTGCCTGAGAAATGCAGGGCTTATGTAGAATTTGTGGAGAGCGAGCTGGGAGTCAAGTGTGCTTGGATCGGCGTGGGTGCGGATAGGGAGAGCATGATTGTGCGATAGGCGGTAGATCATAGAGGTGTAGAGATCTAAAAGCAAAGATGAAAGAAGTGTACCGTAGATGGAGGCTGGAAACTATTGTTGAAGTAGAAAGTAGTTTATCGTGCGAACCTGTATTCGTCCATAAAGTCCAACATGCATACATTTTTTTTCAAGTACTAGTTCATCCTGCAATACTCTTGATTATTTAAGGCCTCTCATTACTGACTTCGGCAGCTCGGCAAGTAATGATGTCTATTTCTGGCCAGCACACCCACTAATCCGATTCATCCTTCCCTTCATCATCCTTTCATCCTTCGCTGTGCTTAACTCTCCTCGGCCTCGACATTGGCGACGATGGAATCTAGGCAATAACATCCAGTCCAATGGCACTCGCTCTCGAGCAATCTTTATCCTCTTCCGAGCATTCGCACGCCCTCGCCAGCTCACAGCTGGCGTGGTCCATCCTCTGGCCCTCCTCCCCTGCACAATCGCAGGCGTACGACCCTCCAAGCTACAAGTTAGAGATGCATCTCCCTAGTCTGGCTACCTCCCCTGCTGGGCGCTCTCGCTCTTTCACCCGTTCTCCACGCCAAGGCACGGACTCACGCTCGCCTTCCCACTCCCCAGTGCGTGCGCTTTCAGTGCTCATCAGCACGAATGCTAGCCCCTCCATAATGCCTCAGGCGCATGCTCATCTATCTCAGGCTCCCCGTGCTCGCTCCACTTCCCGTCCTCCCGCGCTTGAGCGCAACCCCGACCCCGACCCCATTCCCCATTCTCCAGCACGTCTTAAACCCCTCCTTTCCCCCCGAACTATGGCAACATATACTCCTTATGCTCCCCGCTCCCACTCTCTGGCGTTTCCCGCGCCGTCCACTCGCACTGGAAGACGTTCATCGAGGGCTATTTCCTTCGTCATTTGCTGGCTGATACCCGGCTCATCCTACAAGCCGATACGACCCCCTCCTCTTTCGTCGGCACTTTCCCTACGGGCACAGTGAGCGGGGAGTGGGTCGAGTACCCCCTTCCGGAAGAACTGGACCGTTGGTTCCTCCCCCGCCCCAAATTCGCCAAGGACGGGCATCATCTCCTCCTCTCTGGACGCCCGTTCCTTCTCCAGATCTCGATCGCTGGGTACCTTGGCCCTGTACCCTTGGCAGGGAGGGTCGAGCTTGGGGAGAAATGGGTCAGGGTGGATTGGAGAGTTGTGTGTTGTACGATGTTTGACACTTGGTGGGAGGAGGTCAGTTTGGGGGAACTCATGTTTCGTCCTCTCGCGGGGTAGGGTGATGTGAGTGTATGCTGGGAAAAATATGTGTGCACTAGCTAATATGCATATGTTCCATCTGATCAATCTGATCCATAGTACAGTGGTGCTTCGATTTGCTTGGCCTAGCTTCGGCCTTGGTTTGGGGATATATATCAGTCCTGTCACCCATCCACTCCTCACTTCGCACCACCTCGCCTCTTGCCCGAGATTCGAAGTCCTGAGTTCCGCTCTCCCCCAGCTTCATTCCTACACTCCCAATTTTGCTGCTCTCTCCCCACTCACTTAATCCTCCATCCTCCCGAACCATAAACCCACCCACTCATAACAACCGCTCAACGCTCACACCACCTGACAGCTAATGCCTAATCCCAGCCCTCATGCCCCTCCTCATACCCTCCGGTACCGCCCCTCCCTCCAATTCCAACCCCGCGAGCCCTCCTTCGCCCGAGCGTTCCTCCAGTTTCACCCGGAGTTCTTCGTCCAGCCCTGCGAGGGTTTTCTGCGTTTGCTCGGTTTGGGATTGGGTGGGGTTGGGCGCTGGGGTCGAGGGAGGGGCACGGGGGGACTCAACAGGGCTACTCGAGCCGCTGCTGTTAGAGGAATTGGGGGATGCATTGGGAGAATTGGGAGAGGCGCTCGTCGAGAGACGGATCACTGGGCCGGCTGCTCGTTGCAGCCGGGCTGTGGCGGGGAGTAGTATACGGGTGGCGTACATCGGTTTTACGAGTATGAGTGCCTTGCTGTTTTCGTACTTTGGGACTTTATTGCTTTGTTATATCGTTTTGCCGCTGGTTGGTCGTGCTGTGCTCGTCGCTGCTGGTCTCTGTCGCGCAGCTTACATGAAGGACGTACGACCGCGCAAACCGGCAAGAAGAGAGATTATATACTCCCTCCCGAACGAACCGGTGTCCCATGTTCTCTCCAAACACGGCCGCCCAGCACCTCCCCGCATTCCAGCATCCCAGCAATCCCCAAGCAGTAAATCACCCGACCTGTCCAAAGATAGACACGATCGGAGGCGAAGATACTCCGCGGACCCTGAGTTTCATGGTGACGTCAAGCCGATCTTGTCCAACGAGCCGGAGGAGCGCGTCCCCTGTTCTGGCTCTCTCTTGCTCTTGCTCTTGATCTTCCACTATCTCGACTCTGGAAGGATAGGGTAGGATGTTAAGGCCGTTAATCGGCTTAGGTCGGCTGCCACTCGGGCGCGCACGTGTTCGGCCGTTCCTCTCGGGAAGGCTCTTTTTGCGGGGTGAGACGACCCTTGTAGAGAGCACAGATGTGGTCAAGAACGAGGGGTTGCCAGACGTCCCTCATCTGGAAGTGCGTCATCTCTTCTTAATATTGTCTCAAAGTGTTGACGAGTTACAGCCCCCGGGGAGGAAAGACGCGTGGTTATATGTCTCCGGAGTATTTCCGATCCGGTTCGCTTGGTGGGAGTAAGTGCCTCTCCTCCCATTTCGTCACATTCCTGACAAGCAGTGCTCAGTATACGATACCTCATCGCTCGCGTCGAAAAAGAAGACATCATCGACCAGATCACAGCACTGATAAACGACTGCACCGCACATAACTTCCAGGTGCTCGAGGTCGACGCAGCGCAGAAAGACGGTGGCGTGTTCGTACACTTTCAGTATGATGCACCTGCTCAGGGGAGAGGGGACGACTTTGAGAGACTGAAGGAGATTGAGCAGGGAGTGAGGGACGAGGTGGATAGGCGCGGGGGGCTCCCGACTTGGAAGAGGATTGGGATGGGGCATGTGTGGCTCGTTAGGGGCAAGCCGTGGCGCGAGGTGGGTACTGTGCGGGATTCATGTGTGCTGATGGCTGATACTCGATGGGTGTAGGACCTGTATAGGTTTCCTAGCCAGTTGCTAAGAGTAGAGTTCGACGGGCCCGATGTGGACCACGAGTCGCTGTACGACATTTTGCGTGTGCGTCTACTTCATCCCTGTACGGCCCCCACTGACCTCACCAGCCCTACGGTCGCATAGCGGAAATGACCACTCCCACCCCCGTCCCCGCAGGCTCGCTCCGCTCCTCCCTTATAGTCTTCACCCACACGCACAGCGCCACACTAGCCCGCAACTGCCTGCACGGCGTCTACGTCGCTCCGCACGCGCATGACCTAGGAGCCATACACGCCTTTCCCCCAGATGGGAAACTCACGAGACTCAGGATGGTATACGAGCGCGCGATAAAGGAACATCTGATTAGGGACTGGATAAGTAACCACCCGAGGATCGCCCTTCCTGTGGCTGCGTTTTTGCTCGCTACGCTGACATACACGGTGTGGTTCGCTGCCAGACACAAGTACTGTTGATGCTGACGCGTAACAGATATTCGACCCCGTACGCGCGTGGTTTGTGGAAGCGAAAGTGCTGGACTGGTTCGACTACCGAAGTACGCATTCCCAAGTCCTGAACCCCAAGACCAGCACACTAACTTCTTCCAATCTCGTAACTAGACTACTCTGCCTTCCGTTGGCTCAGAAGGAATACGATTGAGCGTCTCCCGTTTGACATGTCCGGCAACGCCCCCGCTGCCATGCCTAGTGCTAGCAGCGCCTGGAGGGAAAGGGAGGACGCGGCGAGCGCTATCAAAGCGTTCCTCAGCGAGCAGCCATGTGAGCTCTCCTTCCCCCCGAACCAGGCAAATGAGTTTGAACGATGATATCTAGCGAACTTCGCCCTCGTGAGCGGACCGGAAGGCAGCGGGAAATCAGTGATGATCCACCACGCACTCTCCACGGGCCATCGGCATGCGCTCATCATCGACTGTGCAGAACTATGCAAAGCTTCGTCGGACACGGCGCTCGTCTCCGAGCTGGCGAAGCAAACTGGCTACTGGCCGGTATTCGGCATGTTTTCTTCTCTCAATAACCTCCTTGACCTCGCTTCCGTTGGCCTCATAGGCCAGAAAGCGGGTTTCAGCACCTCCGTCGAGCAGCAGATGAAGCAAGTCCTCGAAGTGGTCGGCAAGGGGCTAGAGCAAGTATCGAAGTACCATAAAGCCCAAGTGGCGCGGAAGAACGAGTATGCGCAGTGTAAGGTAGAAGAGCGCGCTTTGGAAGCGGAGAGAAAGGAACTGATTCGTAAGGGGGTGTGGCATGATGGGAGGTTGGACTGTGTTGCTGGGAATGGGGTGATGTGCGAGCTTGGAGTGGGTGATGAGCCGATGCGAGAGGAGGATTATTCCCCTCTCCCCCCTTCTTCTTCCACCACGGCGGCCACCGCTGTTCAGCCCCAAGAAAAACAAGAAGGGGAAGAAGGGAAGAAGATTGAGGAAGAGGTGCAGGACATCACTGCTCTCCCCGTGGTGGTGATGAAGAACTGGGCTCTGAAAGGAGCGAAGAAAGACCAGTTGTGGGACGTCCTCTCAGGATGGGCAGCAGCGCTTGTCGAGAATAAGGTCGCCCATGTGGTGTTCGTTTCCGATAACTCGAGTGCGCCGAAGAACCTTGCTCGGGGTGAGTGCCCTTCCTCCGCGAGCGGAGGGACGGATAGTCACCAGACAATTTGTAGCGCTCCCGTCAAAGCCGATATCGACTATCGCACTGACGGATGCTACGGCAGAGAGTGCCCTAGGATTCGTTACTGAAAAGCTGAAGGAGGCGGGGGTCAAGGACGGCTTGACAGATCAGGACTGTATCGAAGTCCGTCGTTTGGGCGGGCGGCTAACAGACCTCGAATCCGTGCGTTACACTCTTTGCCCTCGGGTATCGGCTTGGGCTGTTTGGACTGACGTCATCACGTTATGCCTATGTAGTTCGTGTACAAAGTCCGGAATGGCCAGACCATCTCCGAGGCTGTGGAGGATATCATCTCCCGTAACGTCGCTGAAGTGCGGAAGAACGCCTTCGGGGACGACGCGGAGGACGCGAAGAATCTTCCTTGGACGACGGAGCAGGCCTGGAGCATCTTCCGACGGCTGGCTAAGCAGGACGAGATTCCATATGCGGACGTCCTCCTGGAGTACCCGTTCAAGGGGAACGAGACGGCGCTCAGGGAGTTGGAGCATGATGAGTTTATCAGTGTTACCCAAGTGAATGGTGCGTCGTTTTATGTGCGGGGCTGAAGCGAAGACTGAGCAATGATACAGGCCGACCGCAGCGTATCAGGGCTGGAAAACCGGTGTATTATTCTGTGTTCCAACGGCTCACGAGCGGTACGAGATTCCCCGTCCGTAGGGGCTCGGTCTGACGCACGTAAACAGATAAGATCTTCTCCGCAATGCAGGATTTCTCCTACAACGAGCGGGCGATAGCAGCAGCAGAGACGACGATCAAAGCTGCTGAACAGGAGCTGAACACGCTTACCAACATCGGGTTGAACACGGGCAAGGGATGGCTTGGTGCTAGTGGGCTGGAAAGTCGGGCGGAGTACCTTTTGAAGAAGATTCAAGACAATGAGCGGAAGGTGGAACACTTGGAAGCGCAGAATAACAAGTTGAAGATGGTATTCAAGGAGGACTAGAACGTATGGACATACATATATTGTGACGTATGGTGGATTCCCGGTGTGCTTCACTTCGCATCCCACGCATTATGATAATTGCGTTCTGACGTCGTTGAAACGCGAAGTTGAGAGCCCGACATGCCAAGCAAGAACCCTGTGCGGTGTTCCCTTTTTGGCACCAAACGGAGATCGCATGATTAGTCAATATGCGCAGCAATAAATAGAGAAATTAGAATAGGATTCGAGCGGACGACCGTGCCCTCTAAAACCCCCATCCCTCTCTTTTCAGCGCCCAACCCATGCTGCGCCGAGTACGAATATTAGCCCTTGGTGCGAATCATGACTCCTACTTGCAAATCAGCGACTGATCATAATTCCAGTACTTTGTACCATATTCGGCGCTGTCGCTCTCAGCGTTAGCGCAGCCATCGTCTTGTGGGACTCATGGACTTCCTGCATGGGCATCACAGTGGGCGTGCTGGTAGTTGCGATATGCCCCACGGCGTACGTCTGTATAGTTTTATTGCTGATGCGTGCTTAGCCTTCTCAGCCTGGGGATTGACTCGTTCCGGAGAGGAGTCTTCACTTCGTGGACGAGTGTTGAGCTGGGATGGATGGGCTTGTTGTGGGTGTTATCATTGAGTACGCTCTGATCTTTGACTGGTATTGGATGTGTGCTAAGACTTATCCTCTAGCTGCGGGTGCGGTAGCGATCAACGACTGGGATGCACAGTGTCGACGTGTATATTGTGTTGAAGAAGTGGGTTATTATAACTCCTGCTGTACGATCTTTTGCATTGATAGCTGCGTTTTCACGCTCACAAACTATGGGTTCTCTAGCCGGCCCACCCATCACCGTTTGTCGGCAGATGCAAGCTAGTGCCGCGGTTAGCCTCATGAACTGCATCATCCTGTTCATCCTCTGGTCATGGACGTTATACATCGGCATCCGAGCACAGGTGGACGGGGACCCGTTCATCTGGACATCGCCAGCGCACGAGTACGAGTTCATACCGACGTTCCCAAAAGGGAACAGGGATGCCAAGATGATGCCTCATGGCGATATACCGCTATCGGATCGGACTGCTTCGCCCATGCCTGCGCCCTCCCCGGTCGTACCCCCAGCTGAGCTTGCACTCACCATGCCAGCGCAGCCCCCCGACGCCCCTGCTGCGTCACCTACGACGGCACCCACATCCGGTGAACAAGCGGCATGATATGTCTTTCGCGATAGCTTCTTTCTTTTGCGTTACGGACTGTCAGCTATATAACTTATCAATTGTACACCAATACGACCACTTTCTGTCTTGCGGCCAGCTCTCTGAACAACTGCGTGTGTCGCTGTCTTCACTGGTGACATCCGGTGCTGCGACGCCGGATTTCTAAAGCTCGTTGGCTCAACCAAGCACTGGAATGCGCCACACGGTGAGGATTAATCACGATTCAGTCTTCTTCGATTCTCGTCACTTGCTGAACGATGCTGAACCAAGGGGAAACATACGAGGCTCAGGATGGTATATATATGAGCGCGCGATAAAAGAACATCTAATTATAAGTAACCACCCCAGGATTGCCCTCCGTGGCGACGTTTTTGCTCGCTACGCTGACATACACGGTGGGCCTATACAAGGGCATCGGTATGCGAGCTGATGCGTATGTAGATCTTCGACCCGTTCGCGCGTGGTTCGTACAAGGGGAAAGTGCTGGATTGTTTGGACCACAGAAGTAAGCATTCCACGCTTCAAGTTGTAGACCAGTGCTAACTTCACCTGACCAGACTACTTCGCCTTCGGCTGGCTCAGAAGGAATACGATCGACGGTCTCCCGTTTGACATGTCTGGCATCCATGCCGAGTGCTAGCACCGCTTGGCGGGAAAGCGGTGAGTGCTATTAAAGCGTTCCTTAGCGATCTCATCTAGCAGGTTAAGGTCGGTTATGGTTAGGTTAGGGCAGGGTAGAAAGGTAGGGGTTTGGGTTATAATCAGGGTTGCACATTTTGCCCCCAATGCAGGACCCTACATCCCACATCCCGCTCATCTCGTATTAAACTTCCTACCCCCATCCCTCTCTTTTCAGCGCCTGATCTATGCTGCGCCGTGTACGAATCATGACTCCTACTTGCAAATCAGCGACTAATCATAATTCCAGTACTGTGTACCATAGTCGGCGCTGTCGATCTCAGCATCAACGCAGCCATCATTCAACGGGAGTACTGGGATTCATTCATCGGCGTCCTAGTGGGTGTGCTGGTAGTTGCGATATGCCCCACAGTGTACGTCTGTATAGTTTTGTTATTGATGTGTGCTCAACCTTCTCAGCCTGGGGATTGACTCGTTCCGGAGAGGAGTCTTCACTTCGTGGACGAGTGTTGAGCTGGGATGGATGGGCTTGTTGTGGGTGTTATCATTGGGTACGCTCTGATCTTGGATTGGCATTGGATGTGTGCTAAGACTTATCTTCTAGCTGCGGGTGCGGTGGCGATCAATGACTGGGGTTCGCAGTGTCGAACCAGAATATGCATTCCTGAAATGAATTATGTCTACTGCTGTATGCTCTTTTGCGTTGATCGCTGCGTTTCCACCCTTACAAACTATGGGTTGTCTAGCTGGCCCACCTATCACCGTTTGTCAGCAGTTCCAAGCTAGTGCCGCGTTTAGCCTCATGAACTGCATCATCCTGTTCATCCTCTGGTCATGGACGTTGTACATCGGTATCCGAGCGCAGATGGACGGGGACCCGTTCATCTGGACATCAGCCGCACACGAATACGAGTTCATGCCGACGTTCCCCGAGGTGAACATGAAGGCGCAGGTGATGCTCGATGGTGATATACCGCTATCGGATCGGACTGCTTTGCCCACGCCTTCGCCCACCCCGGTCGCACCGCCAGCCGAGCTTGCACTCGCCACGCAAGCGCTGTCGCCCGACGCCCATGTGGCGTCACCTACGACGGCACCTGCATCCGGTGAACAAGCGGCATGATGTGTCTTTCGTGGTCGCTTCTTTCTTTTGCATTACGGTCTGTCAGATATATGACTTATCAATTGTACACCAATGCGGTCACTTGTTGTCTTGTGGCCAGCCCACTATACAACTGCGTGAGTGTCGCGCTCTTCACGGGTGACATCGGGCGGTGTGACGCCGGGCTTCTAAAGCTCGTTGGCTCAACCAAGCACTAGAATGCGCCACAAGTACTGTGAGGATTAATCAAGGCGCAGTCTTATCATTGCTGTCCGAAACTTGCTGATCGATGCTAAGCCAAAGGCAAACTCACGGGGCTCTCAAGATGATGTCTGTGCGCGCAATATAGGAGCATCTGGTTAGGGACTGGATAAACAACCGTCTGAGGCTCGCACTACCTGTGGCGGCGTTCTTGCTCGCTACGTTGACATACGCGGTCCACCTATCTGTATACAGGGGTGATCGCGTGACGAACTGATGCGTACGTAGATTTTCGAAACCCGTACGAGCCTGGTTCGCGGAAGCGAAAGTACTCGACTGATTCGACTACCGAGGTACACATTCTCAGCTTTCGAATTGCGCAGACCGCTAAAACTTCTGAGAAGCAGACTATTTTGACTTCCGCTGGCTCAGAAGATACGATTGTCCGTTTGCCGTTTCACATGTCCGACAACGACCCCGCTGCTATGCCTCGTGCTAGCAGCGCTTGGCGGGAAAGGCAGTACGCGGCGAGCCCTATCAATGTGGAGCACCGAATGTGAGTCCCTCTCCAAAGTAGCCAAACGAGTCTGAACGCGGCTATCTAGCAAACTTCGAGCAGATCAGGAGCCAGCGGGAAATCAGTGATGATCCAACGTCCACTTGGGTAACGCTGATAAACTCGTCATTTTCCAGCTCCGCAGAATAAGAGGCTGAAGATGGTCTTCGAGGAGGATTGAACGTATGCATAGTGTAATGACGTGTGTTAGACTCCGGATGTTCTTCAATTCGCATCTTACATACAATGCCAGTGGATCCGGACGTCCTTGAAACGAGAAGCTGGGAACTCAGAGGGTTGCAGGACAAAGCAATTGAAGCATGACCTATTGAGTATTGGTTCCCATCCCACACATGGTCACGTGACTACTCAATATGCGCAGCAATGATGGGAAATTACCACGCCCCCGTGAAATAGGATTTAACCGGACGACTAACACCCTCCCTACTCTCTCTTCAGCCCCGTCAAGAGTCCAATGCTGCGCAGAGTACGGGAGTTAGCCCTTGGTATGAATAACCATTCTCTTCAACAAATCAACTAACAGGACGGACAGTATCGTGTACCATATTTGGGATTGTCGCCTGCGGCATCAGCTCAAATATCCCCCAGGATGACTTCATGAATCTCGGCCTCAGCCTCGCAGTTGGGGTTATGGTAATGATGATATGCGGCACAGCGTACGACTCCATCATGTTCTCATAACTTGGGCTCATCCTTCTTAGGTTGGCGATTGACGCTTTTAGGAGAGGAGTGTTCACTTCATGGACCAGTGTTGAGCTGGGATGGATGGGCATGTTGTGGATGTTCTCATCAGGTACGCTATGATATTTGATTGGCGTCGAATACGTGCAAACACTCGTCCTCTAGCCGCCGGTGCGGTGGCGATAAGTGACTGGGGTTCGCAGTGTCGACGTGAATACTGTGTTGTTGAAGAAGGCCCGAGTGTTCCCAAGGATTGCAGTATGCGTGTTTTTGTCTCCATCCCTACATTACGCTCACAAACTCATTTCAGCACCGGTGGGCCCATCACTTACATCTTGTCGGCAGATGCAAGCTATCGCCGCGTTCAGCCTCGTGAACGGCGTCATCCTCTTCATCATCTGGTCATGGACGTTGTACATCTTTATCCGAGCGCAGAGGCACGGTGACCCGTTCATCTGGACATCGCCAGCGCACGAGTATGAGTTCAAACCGACGTTCCCAAAGGGGGACAGGGATGCCAAGATGATGCCTGATGGCGATATCCCGCTCTCGGATCGCCCTGTGTCCCGCACGCCTTCGCCCTCACCGGACCCAGATGACTTTCCATCCGACAAGCCGAAGTTGCCATCTGAGAAGCTACCGTTGCCCGACACCCCTAACGCATGGTCCATGCTATCCATATCAGGTAAACACGCAGCATGATCTGTTCCTTATGATTTATCAATTGTACATATCAATTGTGCACGGCCTTCTTCGGTGTGTCAAGCGCTGGAATGTGCCCCAAATACGACGAGTATTAATCACGGCGCAGTCCTATCATTTCTTGTCCGAAACATGCTGAACGATGCAGTGCCAAGAGCACCAAAAGACGAAACTTCTTACTGCACATGCCAAGAGTTTGTATTGTTGCAACCTCAAATTGGTCAGGATCGTGATGCAACGGAGCTAAGGGTTGCGCACGCAGCCGGAATAAAAGGGCGCAGCACTGCGCAGATGTGCGGTGTTGGGGTGTTGCCTGAACCCTCTTGTACAACCAACCAGTGTTGCTCCTTCTCTTCCTGCCAAGTGATTATTGGAATTAGTTATTTGTTCATACACTCACTTGAAACCTTGCCTTCTCGGAACGACAGCATGCCTCGCGCTGGTTATAATATCCTTCCTACCACAGAGCCGGCGCAAGACGTGACCCCACTTCAGACCGTTTCTCCTCCACAGATGTCCCAGTCGAACAACGAGTGGACAGGACATACCATGACCATGACGATTTCGCTCCCTCATATTGCCCGCGTGCGATTCTGGACTTTCTGTATGCACAGCTCCATATTGCCCGGAACTTACGTTGATCTACCGGACCTTTAGGGACGCTTCTGGTGTTCTCCATGAGCATGCTGCCGATTGCAGCCAGTCTTGTACAGAGCCAGATCCCTGGTGCGCAGGATTTTGGAGTTGGCATCGCGAGCTCCCTCATCACCACGCTCATTCCCGTGCTTGTGTACGTATTCAGCACTGCTGTCCCAGAAGGCGGTTAGGACTAAATGTTTGCCTGCAGCTTGGCGCGCGAGTCCAAGCACAAAGATGCTTGGACATCCTGGACAGCAATCGAACTTACGTGGATGTTTGTCTGCGCCATCTGCTGGTCCGGTAAGCCCGACGCATAACTTTGTAGCGCGCGACGTGACCATGTTTTCCTGCTAGTTACGGGTGGCAGATCCATTAGCAATGCCATGTGGACCTGCAACGGCATGTGCTTCAGGTGGAGCTACCAAGGAATGGGTCGTTGCAGTACGCATCTGCTTGAATTCCTGTTTCAGACCTGTCTGATCGTTCTTTTCCTCCCCGTAGCCAACTTCTCCTATACTATATGCCGCGAATACCGCGTACTGGCTGTCTTCAGCTGGATGATCTTCTTCATGCTTTCCACCCTTTTCATCTGGGAGTTTGCTATCGCAATCAGTGCCCACAAGAAGGGGGATAGGTTCATCTGGAAGTCACCTGCCCATGCGTACGGGAAAGGCGGAGCGATCTACCTCGAAGCACCTAGCCCGGCGTTTGGTCACTCGGAGGCGACACTGACGAAGGGCAAGAAAGCCGATGAAGAAGCTGTAGCGGAGCGCCCTAGGACGCCTTCGGCTCTTGATAGTATTTAAGCTGCTCTATCCATATTTACGCTCCTTATACACTACCACTGCTCCCTGGAAGTCCGAGGTTTCCTACAGTGCTGAATAAGCAGACGGAAACGAACAATGTAGTATACATAGTCAAATCATGTGAACCTGAGCATTGTTTGTCACTCCTTCCTTCGGTGCGCCCAACACCGAGCTTGCCATTGAGTGTTGCCAACCGTAAAACGCTTCCAAGTCAACGCCAGCCCGAGGTCGTTTGCCTTCGGGAACAAAGCACCTTCGCCATCGGCTTTAAGGGGTTGACGTCACTGCCACGCGTGCGGGGATATATATAATTTCGATGGCAAGAGATGACTCTGACCTGACGCAGCGCACATATCCTTATCGCCCAACCTTCTTCGTTCCTGTAGAGAAATAGTTGAGGGTAGAAGAAGCCGTTCTGCGTGGGGAGGGTGCGCGCAAGCACCCTTGAATCACGAAACACAACATCATCCTCCCGCACAATGTCGATGATCACCTTACCGGTCGAAATTCTGCTCGCAATATGCCATGAGCTAGAGGCATATGAGCTATGTTCTCTTTCGAGAACATGCAGGAAATTACATGAGTTGGTGCGCACAGGGATACAAGTAATAGAGACGCGATTGCTGACTGTACATATGGTAGATTGAGGGCCTGGCATGGAAGGATTATCTCCTACGACACCCCCGTTCCAGCATTACTCACCGTATCAATTCTTCACCACAGCAGCAAGCAGCATACAATCATGCTGTCGACCATTCCTGGCACTCTAGATCTTATGTTGCTTGTGCTTTCAGCGAAGCCTGGCATCGTGTCGGTCCCGCGCTCGCGCTCACATCGAACCGACTCGCTGTTGGCGCAGGAGAGCAAATACACCTCTTTCCAGTGCTCGGAAATTCGCATAGCGGCCAGCTTGAATCGCCCCTCACACATCGGATACACGCACGTGATGCTCGGCGAGATGTTACGGCCATCGCCTTCCTACCGGATGGGGAGCAGGGGCGCACGCTGTTGATCGGACGTGCTGATGGGCTGGTGCAACGCTATCACCTCTCTCCTGATGAGCGGACGCTACACGCGACGGCGAGATACGATCATCCTACGAGCTGTGTGCTCTCGCTATCCGTTGTCAATGACACTGCTGTAACAGCAGCCCGGAACGGAGTGGTCTCATTCATTCCAACATGTTCGCCGTGGATACAGCCAAGCACACTGCAGGTGCATTCCAAACCATGGTCTGTCCACTTCAGCCCAGACCGGAACATGCTTGCTGTCGGCACGATCGGTCAGCACCCTCTCAATGTTTACTTCGTTCTCCCCTCTGGACCGCTCTCCTCCCACCGACGAGCCGTCCTCTCCGGCCCCGCCCGCGCCTCAGCAGTGTACGGCATCACACATGCCCCATCTGGCTCAATCTGGGGGAGTTCCAGCTCACAAGTGTTCGTTTCGGGCTGGTTCGATGGAAAAACGCGAGTACACGATATGCGCCAAAAGGACCGAACTGCCTGCTTGAGTTTGAGCGATCCGTGGGATGACTCGCCTGTCTACGCTGTTGCTGCTGGTGGGGGAGGGAGCTGTCATATTGCGGCTGGAAGCTCAAGGCATGGTATTGTTAGACTCTGGGATGTCAGGCAACCCAAGGCTGGATGGAGCGCATTCTCACCGGGTAAAGATAACAGCCCAGTTTATAGTCTTGTCATGGAGTCCTCTCGAGTGTTTGGCGTCACTGAGTCGAGGGCGTTTGTCATGGACTTTGACCCTAGTGCACGCCCGTCTGATTATCCACCCACTCCGATTGCAATGAAGAATGCGGTTAGGGAGAACGACCAGTCGTTACTGGGTGAATGGACACCGCATTATTTACATTGCATGACGAAAATAGACATATCCAGACAGCCAGCACGTAGAGAGAGACGACTAGCATAATATGTCAATCAATTGCATGCATTGTGGATGGTTAGTGCTTCGATCGTTACACGACTATGATGTGCTTGCAACGAAAGGCGTGGGGATTAGGTAGGGAGAGTATGTGTAGCCGATATATTGAAGGACGGGAAATCGAAACGTACTGCAGGGAGGTTGCCAGACAGGACCAAGAGACGCTAGATGACCGACCGCTGGACTCGAAAGAATCGCTAATGTCAGTAGCAGATACATCACGCACCAATTAGACCTTGCCAATCTTGGCATTCTCCTCTTTTTTTCCGAGAGGGTTCATCTGTTTCGAAAGGATGTACGGGTGAGATGCATGCGTGGTTAGAAATAATCGCGAGTCCAGACAGAGAAATGCATGGTTCTTAGACGCCAAAGGTCCCAGGTCGATTGTGGAGGACAAGCCAAAAAGAGAGGAAGAGAGACTGGTGAGGGTTGTTCATGCCACGCGAGGTCGCTTATGTGAGTCGGAGGTATCGTGGCCCCCTAATTCATCGTTCTCATCGTCGACGACAGTCTCCCAAGCACGTTTCACACCCGAAACGCTAATCGGTGACTGGTCATTTTCGGCGTCAGCGGGTGAACCGGCCGCGGCAGCGCCATCTTGCGTTGCCGCTAAGCCATAATCATCGTAATCCTCAGGCACTGCTTCAAGTTGGGTAGTCACTGTATCTATAGGCGACGTAAGTCAACAAGGACGGACGTCATGACAACCAAGGGCTCACTAAATGCCGTATCATCTTGGAGATGAGCCAGATGATCTCCGATCTCGTCATCCACAATTTCTTTGCTGGTGACAGGATGGTACTCATCGCTCAGAGCTGCTTCGAGATCGAACTCGTCCAGAAGAGTCTCAGTCACATCGTTCCTGGTGGGCAACTCCAGAGTATCGTCAACTTGGTGATCGAAAGACAATCCTGCGCCTTCAAGCAATTCAGGTGATTCATCGGGGGCGTTTGTTGGCAATGCCGTGACCCCGGGTTCTTCGACAGTCGTTTCCGCCGTATAGTCATCCAGGGCAGCAATGGTGTCATAACCTGCGAAGAAAATTCAGCTTGGGTCATTGAACATCACATGCAGGGCATACCTTGAACTAGCACAGTCCCGTCTTCATCTACATATTCATATTCAACTTTTTCGGTATAGTCACCGTCGGTGTTAGTTTCAACCTCTTCAGGTTCTAAACACAAAGCGTCAGCCAGAATTTACGAGGACCTTAAAGAGACGCACCCTCTACAAGACCTTCAACATCACTGTCATGATCCGAAATGTCGACGGTCTCAACACGAACGAAACTTTCTTCCTCCACTTCACCTTCATCAATTGATCGACCGTCATCATCAGCGGTATTGTCATAACCCTCCTGTGGCTCTTCAACAACCCCATTACGTACCACCTCGATAGGAGCTTGGTATACTTCCTCTTCAGTGATGTCAATCTGATGTTGAGTTTCCGACTCGATTTGGTGTGGTTCGCTGACTTGTTCTTTGCTGACAGCCGGTGCGATGCCTGCCTCGTCTTGATGATCGTTCTCTGCATCATTTTCGTTCAATTTTTGCAGGATGCCGCGTAGGTGGGGTTGTGGCTGATAGTGCTGATAGTCCTCGTGGACGTTACCTTCCTCATCTTGGTAGAATGCCTCGTCGTTCTCAGTATCGTCGTAGTTCGCGTCTGCCTCACCAGCTTCGCGATGGTGCAAGGCTTCGCTGTTTTCCAATTGATCATCCTCTTCCACATAGTACTCGTCTTCCACCTCAGGCAAAACCTCAGCTACTTCCTCATGGACGCCTGCGTTAGTCACAGTGGATGGAGTGGCAATTGCTGGCAGGATAACGGATTCTGGGTTGAACGGCTCAGAATATGCGATATTTTCACCTGCTACAGTCGATGTCAGCCGTTGTCTGGTATGGAAAAATAAGAAATACGCACCATTCAGTCGTCGCTGCATTTCAGTTTGATACGGCTGGAGACGATATTCAAACCTGTACTGCTCGTCTAGAACGAACGTCACGGGACCTGGACAAAATGCCAGATGAAGGGCAGCGAATTGTTCCAAGCTGAATTGATAGGAATAGGGATCATCCTGTGATTCTCAAATAAGCGTTTTTCTCGTAATAAAATTGGTGTGATTCTCACCTCATGCAATACCAATTCAAGGGCCGGAATAGAGAGCGTCATCTCCTTCCAGTCATTCTTAAACCTATCACGCATCAAGGGCTCTATTCTCAGGGCGGCGAAAAGCTCCGCAATCGATCTTCGGTACAAGTCTTGTCGTGACGCAAGCACAGACGGCTCCTCGCTCGAGCAAAGGTGGAACGGGTCCTCACGTCCGGGTAAGACGATAAGCATAGGACAAGGTTGAGAAGCCTCTTCTAGATACGCGTGTAATGCAGGCGAGTTTGTGTCGAATGCGTCTGGCGAAGACGGGGCCGGCAGAGTAGAAGGACCAACAGTTTGTGCTGCCGGAGGGACATCATTCGTCGGAGCTACAGTTTCTTCTTCTTCAAATTCTTGTTCGTCATCCTCGAGTAAGTCTGCATCATGTCCTTCATGCGCTGTCGTGGTCTCAGCTGGCCCGAGGACCTGAATCGTTTTGGCACCCTGCACAGGTTCGGAATGACCATCAACAGCAGGTGGAGGCAGCGCATCAACTTGTGCTAGACGTTCTTCTTCTCCGTAAAGTACATCTTCCAGAGAGTCGGGATTCTCCTCATTTTCTGCCTCCACACTATGTGGCAGATCGTGCAATGTTAGGGGGATAAACATCGGATCCTCTCCATACAGCTCTTGGTGCAGCTGCGCCTCTAATGGGTCCAGGTTGTCGCCCGCCATTAAAAAATACTGCTCGTAGTGCAGAGTGTCGTAGGCGGTCGCCATAAAAGCTCAAGTGCTGATGCACTGCGTGTGCTGAGTGTCGGGGTAATATGACGCGTTTCTGCTGATAAATCGAACTTTTTGTCGGCCGAAGTATAGGAGGTTGCAAATGAGGTTCTATAGTAATCAGTGCCGAGTGTAAGAATAGAACAGAGCCCAGCTGTCCGTTGCTGGATGTTGCTTGCTTGATATATGCGGTTGGTGCAGAAGAGAGAGAGGTGAGCGGCAGGCGGTGGTGGCCAAAGAGTCAAGGCAGGGGCCACGCGGAGACAAGCGGAGGCATATTTCCTAATTTAGCATCACGGGAATAAACTTGGCATGTCTCCCCGAGCCAACAGACCTTCGCCAGACCTTCCCTCCATCTTGCGGGACTGAAGGGTCGAAATGGAGCACGGGACTCGGCATTCAGGGTGGAATTGTTATTATTACATTGGCGGATAATATTAATCCTAAGAGTCGCCTGATGCCACGTCATTCTCCCATAGTTATTTCGGAGCCCCCGCTGATTCAATACTCGGGCCGACAGACAGCCTACAGTGCCTACTTAACCCTCGAGTCTCTACGCCCTCTACGACAAGCCTCTCCTACATCATGATCCATTCATTCTGTGATGGCACCCACCAACCGCATCCAGCATATCAAAGCGAATGAGTTTTCAGAGAAGACGGGTCAGACCGGAGGCATGCAGCGCTTGGGCGCCATTGTCGGACTTTCGGAAAAGCTAAACGCCAACCGTTGAGTCGTTTTTTTGATGTATGCATGCGCGAAAAGCGGTACTGGCCGTATTTCCGATGTGCGCCTCTAGTCATGACTGCGGAGCCGCACACGCGTTCTGATGTGCATCACCACGACGACCAGGGTAAGTCTGGACATAACTGCGAATGAAGCACATCGATCGTTATCCATGAACCCCCTTCGTCCGAAAAGATACGATCATCTACGGCCGATCAGGTCATGGTGCGGTGCTCTTCAACAATGGGAAGGAGAGGGTGAACATCAATCCCGGGGATTTCGCCCTTAACCCCGCCGGTGTAGAACATCAAGAACTCAACGACGGTGAGGAACAGTATGTTCTAGATACCTGCCCGTGTGAACCTCCTCTCTGACCAAGAATGGCCAGGGTTGTTTGGCTTGTCGTACGCTCGGGCAGCGCGCCCAAGGTCGTCAACCTGGACGGGTGTAACGGGAATGAGAAGAAATAAGACCGATAGGATGTGTTTTGAGGTGAAGTGCAAAGCGGCGGTACAAGTGAGGAACGGTCGAGACGGCCGTTGCCGCCTCAGTAATCTGAGCTAGTGTAGCCAGAAGCAGAAGTAAGGTAGAGTTATCTCGGAGGTCGGGGTCCATGTCGCCGCCAGGTCGGGGCTCAGTGCTCTAGAGCTGGCATCCTCACTCACTTGAGCGTTGTTCTGCAACCACAGGGATGAGGATGATTCAAATCCGCATGCCTAAATATGAGGCTGTGAAAACTAGAAGCGCCGCAGCACCACTTGGTTCCCGACCTTCTTCTTCTCAAGTCTGATTACGATAAGCGCCACCACAAATTCATTCATCGATATCGGCCAATCCCCAATGCATGAAGGATATGCCTGTAACCGCAGAAGCTGACATAGCTTTTGTTAATGGTAAAGGCCGCGTTGTGAGATGTGTTGATCAGGAGTGACAGTATGAAAGAAAGAGAGCAGCGAAAAATCAGCGGTTTCACACATTCATTGATGATGGCCAATGCTGTGCCGGTAGATGAGGGTTCATCGCATGCTGTTGTCGCTGACCATCGAGCCTCCTCCGCTGCGCATGTATAGCCGACCTCTTCAACGTTTATTTATCCCCTCCTCTTCATCTTGCTCACTCGGAAGTCTTGCTCAAAGACGCCCGGTATACTTCACGCATGTCCAACTCGCCGCCCGAAGTGATTGACGAGGTCGCCGGGAAGAAGCGCAAGTTGTATTCCAGTTGTGACACTTGTAAACGTAAGCCGCGAGGACCTCGATCGCGTTATGAATAAATGAATAGGGTCGTTGACGCGCAATTGAACAGTACGACGAGTCAAGTGCGAGCGGGAAAGTGAGGATCAGGCATGCGCAAAGTGTATCGAGAAAGGAATCCAGTGCGGCTGGCGAACTCCATTCCTTATCTGGTGATCATTGACCTATTATACAGTTGCACAACCGCTGGCCCGAAAAGGAAGAAACCACGCACTGGAAAGCGAATAGAACAGGCGAAGTAGGGGTTTGATATCTCTCAGTGGGTTATTGTTCCTAATCTGTTGCTACAGGGAGCTATTTGGCGATGGCACACACAATATCGGCGAGAGCAGTCGAGGAAACCTTGTGGTGTACCATGGGCATCGGCCGATCACTCCAGCGCCGGATGATGTTGCTTTTGACATGCGGGGATTCGATAGCCTGAACGCACGCCATATCTCGAACGACAACGTCGATTCCAGGCTATCCCTCGCGGAGATAGTGAGCACGCTCAGCAGCCACTTGATCGAAGGTGTGTACGACCTTCAGCATATGGGTTTACCAACCGTCATACAAATGTGCGGCGTTCTCCGTAGTGTACTTCAGCTTGACGCATTACCCATTGCCGCTATATAGGTGGAAGAACTTCCGAGATCAGTTCGATAAGGCAGGTCGGCGACCAGAGCAGATGACTGGCATGGGAGGCGTTCGCACACCTTACTTCGGCGTTTACCGAACGGTGCTGATAAATATACAGGTACTGGCGCACGCTCTGATCGCGTATGGTGCATATGCATCAAACTCTCCTGCAATACTAGGTCCAGGGGCACCAGCGCTAAGCAAACTTGATTCGGAGGAAGCAAATTTCGTTCGTGCGTCCATTGGCCAAACTTCACCCAACATGTCTCCTAACTTATAACAGACTGGGGAAGACAGCGTGCGCAATTATGCAAGAGTCTTCTGGACCGTGCCGTTCGAATAGCAGACGAGCATGGTGTATTCAGAGTCGAATGCAATGGTGAGTTTACAGAAATAGCATTCAAATCAGAACCTGAGTCCATTCCAGAGAGCATCGTCATTCTTCTGTTGCTGGAGATGCTCATTGATCGTAAGTTCTCCAGACGACCTCTAGCGGGGAGTACTCACATAAACGTTAGATGGCGATGTGACACGGCGTCGAGGAAGGCCTTTTCGCGCTGCTGCTCTCAGCCATGCCCAGACACTGTCGGAAGAAGGAAACACACATGATGAGTATATCGAGTTGCAGGGAGGTGGTCTAGGGTGGATGCTATACGTGAGTTATGTAGCTATTCTTCCGTGAGCCTTACATTTACGGCCAATCTCACAGCTACGGGATTCTTTACAGGCCGCAGTGGCTGGTCGAGAACCTCGCTTGTAGGTCTTCGCTTCCCAGCCAATAGAGCGACACTGATGAGCGAACAGACGAGATCGAGACGTGCAGATTCTCTGCGGGCGAACCATGACCCTCGGCCTTCCGACCATGGTCGAGTTCGCAAAAGCCCTCAACGGCGACATCCTTGTGTGGGACCCAGTCATCCGAATATGGGATCATGTAGCGCAGTTAACGCGGCAGTTGGCAAAAAGACTGGCTAAGGACAGTCCTGTTCCAGAGGGACGACAAGACCCGTTCAATGATAATTTCCTCTGGGAACTGTACAAGGACCTTGATGATACAAAAGCGTATGTTACATAAATGTTGACACATTACGGAGCTCACCATGCCATAGCTGTATCAAGTTAATGCAAGCACATCTATCCCAGTTCTTCACTTTCAAGAGGCCAGGGCACAATTTCTTCAAGTTCTGTGAGTGCGGCAGAACTTTCAGAAGGTCTTTTATGTTGACAATGACTAGATTGCCGGACTATGTCTCTCGGTTGCATCTTTGTTGATTACCTGGTTCACCGTGGGGTAAAACAGGAGTTACAACAATTGAATGATCGATTGGAACACGCCACGCTCGTGCCGCTGGATGACATCGCAAACTTTGGTCTCTCAGAGTATGAGAAGCGCCGATCCAAACTGATGCAATTGAAGCATGAAGCCGACAATCGGATGCGAAAGTGCGCCAGAGAGATGGCACAGATTCTTTGGGTATCCATACTTCAACTCGCTCCACAATCTGTCCCGCTAACACGGATACAGGCCATGCAGAACTCTTTATCTGCGAGAACAGGGCTGGGAATCATGACTGGCGTGCATATGGTTTACGATACACTACCGATCTTGGCCGAGATCCTATGTACCATGCCCTCGAGGGAGGAAGGCGGCGACCCAGATTTCCCGCTGGAAACCAAAATTCAAGAAGTAGGATGGCTGCTGAGCACCTATCGGTCACTCGGCTGGTCCTGGGCAGATATGGAGGACCCGATCAAGTACCTAGAAGAGCAACATGGACGACTGGTGGCGCTAAAATCTGGCCTGCCGCCGCCAAACGCAGGATTGAACAGTGTCTCCATCCCGGTCTCTAGTGTTCGCTCAAGTGTGGAGACATCCGATACGACCCCTTTCCTGCTTCCCACTCCCTCATCCGTCCAGTTTGGCCTGAAACCCGAATTGGCCGACACGCCCAGCAGTGGCTACAGCTCCGCGACGAGTGGCGAACGGCCCACGACGGGGTATGCCGCCGAGTTGCAAGCCCAGTCGCTCGCAGAGCCAAGCATGCAACCGCCCGAAGCGCCCGCTCACGTGCAGTCGATGCTACCAACGTTTATTCCCGGACCGAGCCATCTTCCACCTCTTTCGGATCCTTTTGCTGACTTGTATACTATGCCTATTGTAACGGAATACCTAGACGGGACGGCCCAAGCAGGCGCTTTACCCTCCCCAACATCGTATGAGGATCTGCAGCAGTGGGCGAGTGTGTTCAATGACCAGGTGCCGCTGAACTGGGACTTTGGACCTTCTGGGTTTACCCCACAGCCCTAGGAGGAAGTGGACGGAAGAATAGACTGAATGAAGGGTAATTATCTGTAGCTGTTCAATCCTGTATTTATAGAATTACGAAACCAACTCTCTAATCCCACTGTTATGTCCCGTGTCCCAAGCGCAAGAAAAGAAAAGGGAGCATCGTGTATTGCATTAAAGCAAACAGTAGGGGTAAGATTACAAAGTATATACACTACGATTTCTGGCTCGGGCCCGACTTCTTCTAGGATACAAGAAGCATGCAAGGGTGGTAGTGGGTAGTGGTAGATGAGGGCGTATGCATCGTCTGTGCTTCGTAGTGCCATGCAGACGTGTATGGAGACACGTGAGAGCTAGCGATATATTTGGTTGGTGGGGGTGGGGAAGGTGAAAAGGACTAAATTGAGGAGTATGGGTAGAGATTTGTTGGAACAAGAGCGAAAGGCTGAGGTTGAGGAACTTTGGGCTGAGTCGGACTGAGACTTTGGCTGGGACGAGATTTGGGCTTGGGAGGATGGTGGCAGGAGGCAGGAGACGCAAGCGATGCAGTCAGCAGCCTTAATAGTGCAAAAACGGCTCTGCATGATACGTCCCCTGCCCGAACTGGACATGCACCCCCTCCACATCCACATGCATATCCAGATCCAGATCCACATTCTTCATCAGCGACGGTGAGGGATGCTGCAGCGGGTAGGGATACCCATACCCCTGCGCGTGGTGGGAATGGGAATGGGAATGTTCCGGATCGAGCAACTGGAACCCCTCAGTCGCGTATTCCTGGAGATAATGTCCGCCCCCTCCCACTCCCACTCCCACCCCCACGCCACCCGCATGCACATTCGGCGAAAACGGATAACCAGAACCCGGGGTATTCATCGGAAACTCAAGCTGCTGCGGGTAAGGATACTGATGTGCCGAAGAAGGACGGGAATGGACAGTGGAAGGGGAGGCGGAGGGTTGGGCTGGCCCTACTCCCCCGCCGCTGGCGCCGGTGCTGGTGTTGGTAGGTGGGGGGAGGGAGTAGGCAAAGGGAGTCGAGTCAGAGTCTGGGGTCGGTTGGCCAGAACCAGCCTGCACGGCCGGAAGCCTGTGCGTGGGAGGGACCTGGTCCGAGTAGCTGGCGTCACTGGGTGCTAAGGGGTCTTGGGGATAGACCGCACCTCCTTGACCTTGATTTTGATTTTGATTTTGAGCTTGACTTTGACTTTGACCTTGAGCTTGGACTTGGGATTGAGCTTGACTTTGACCTTGGGATTGAGTTGGTTGCTGGGCATGTGCCTGTGCCTGTGCTTGTGCCTGAGCGTGCGCCTGGGCCTGCGTCTGCACAGTCGGGTACATCCCCACCCCCACCCCCTGTACTCCCACTCCCACACCCACGCCAACCCCCTGCATCCCCACCCCCACCCCAACCCCAACATCCACCCCCTGCGGCATCACAAACCCATACCCAAGTCCCTCCATCCCATACGTATCATACTCCTGCTCATAGAACGCCGGCTGGAGGGGTAGGTGCAGCTGGGGTAGCTCGGGGGAGTGGGAGTGGGAGTGGGGGTGTGAGTGGGAGTGGGAGTGGGAGTAGGGAGTGGAGGTTGCCCATGTTGGGATCGTGAGTGGACGAAGTCGTTGTCCAGATAGGGAGGCAGAATGGGCGGGATGTGCTTGCTGTTGAGATTGCGATTGTTGTGCAGACTGGGACTGGGCAGATTGGGCAGATTGCTGCACATCAATCATCTCCCTCAACTTGCCCCACAGCTCCAACGAATCCCCAAAAGCCCAATGCATCCTATCCAGCGCCTCCAACGCGTACGCAACCTCCTCCCCGGCCCCCGCCCCCGCCCGGCCTTCCTCCAGCAACACCCTCGCCCCAAGGTACACCCCCCGGCACACAAGGGTAGAGTCGTGTTGGAACAGAGGGGTAGAGAGGAGCCAGGGGAGCATCGCTGACCCCCGCTCGGCGGCGCGGAGGGAGTGGGCTTTGGCGAGCGTGATCAGGTGCTGGACGTTGTTGTACTCCGACTGGGACTGGGATTGGGAAGGGTGGGAGGGGTGTGCATCTACGGGGGAGGGCAAGGGAGAGTCGGAGGTGATCGCGCATGTTGATGGTTCTTCTGTTAGCCTTAAGAGGCGAAGCTTGAGCGCGTCGAGGACGACGACGTCTGCCTTAGTGTCAGCATCCGCTCCACATCCATCGTACTTCCGCAAGTACTTACGACACTCTACAAGAAATATCTACACACCCGTCAGTCCCACTGCCCAAGCCTCGGTAGAGGATAAAAGAACGCACCTGCCAGCGGGAAGCCAACATCGCCCTCTCCTCCGCAGGAAGTATGTTCATCCCGCTCGCTCCATCACCCACATTACTCGGATTACAGCTCTTCAATTCCTCGAATTCCTGCCAACAGCGTTCGAGGAGTTCCCAGATCTTTTGTACTGCTCGAGGATCTACTGTTGGGCGAGAAGTCGCCCGGTCTGAGGTGAGCTCGGCGTGGATCCGCCGACAGGCGAAGGAGGCGTCTACTGGAGGAAGGGCGTAGCCCCAGAGAGCGGAGAGGTCGTCAGCGGGGACATAGGCCGTGCGAGTGAGCACTCCAGCGCCGATACCGATACCGATACCGACTCCGAGACCGTTCACCCCTGAACGGGTGGGGCGGGTGCGCAGTTGAGGCCCGTCTTCGAAGGGCGTCGTTCGCGGGATAGGGAGACAGCCTTTCCATACTTCTTCGTCTAGGATCACGGGGTTTCCATAGAGGGCTGTCTTTACTCCTGTAAGGGGATGAGCAGGAACCAAGGGAGGAATGACGAGAACGAGAACGGGGATGAGGAGGCGAATGATCGACCGTACTCACCCTCAAAAACAAGCACATACCACAACACCCTCAGCTTCAAAAACGTCGGTACGTCCATCGCCCTATCCACTCTGACCGGGTCCACCCCAGGTCTAGCAAGCTCATACGCCTGGGACAGCGCCGCACGATACATCGCGTTCCTCGCATGTGGTGTTAACGTATCTAGGCGAAGGGGGATTAGGCTGTCCGTCCCATGGAATGCGGAATGGGGAAGGAGGAAGGGGGGACGCACCGAGCGTTAGAGGCAGGAGGAGACACACGAGCCTAACGTTATCCCAGCTCAACTTCCTCAATACACCTCTCCTATCCACCTCTTCAAGCAACTCTTGCACCATAGGTCTACACCTCTCCACTCGGAGCTGCAGGTCCTGCCTCGTAGGGGAAAACACGGTTCCGGTGTGGTCGACGCCGTAGCTCTGGGCCCAGATTATGAGGGACTTGCTGATCAGGTCGGGGGAGTCGCCTAATAGGCCGGGGCCGCCGGGGGTGCAGAATGTGGGGAATTCGGAGGCGTCGACTATTGGTCCTTTGGGGGAGTTAGCGGGCGAGCGGACGAGCGAGCGAGGGAGCGAGGGAAGGAACAAGCGGGCGAGCGAAAGAAGGGGGCGTGGGAAGGAGCAGGAATCGTAAGGGAAGTAGGAGACTCACGTTGAAAGTAAAAATGCCTAAACCACTCCGAGTGGAAGAACTCGGGCGTAGGGAGTGGGATCACGCTTTTCTGCTGTTGGGGAAAAGTGGGTGAGGGTTGGGAACCGATACCGTATATCGCTCTGTTGAGTGTCAGTGCGCAATTATGAGAGCGGGGAGTTCCCCGGGGGGGCGATGGACGTAGGGATGCAGGGGGGATGGAGGATGGAGGATGGAGGTAGGGACGCAGACTCACTGAGCCTGCTGTAACCTCCTCCCTCTGCGCATCATCTTCGCCGGTTTGCGCGAGTACTCATCTACGCAATTCAGCTGCCTCTGTCTGCAGTTCGTGCACTGTAGAGGGTCGGAACTGTCCGATGGGCGGGAGAGGGCGACGTCTTTCAAATCGCATTTTACTCTGTGTAGCGTCAATGGGGTGTAGGGTGAGGAGGGGGTGGTGGTGGTGGTGGCGAGCAGGAGGGAGGGGGGAAGGAGGGGGGAAAGACACACCTGCGTAATCGACATGCGCCACAAGCAGTAAACTGCTGTCTCTGAGCGTGTGATTTCTTCCTTCTGCTACCTTCTGGCGAGTCCTCCTCCTGTTCGGGAGGTGAGGACATGTGCGCGTGGTCCTGCCCGTGCTCGGGTTCGTGTTGTTCGAATGGTTTTGTTTCTTCGTCACTTAGAGGGAGTGAGAAGTTGAGAGATGAGTTTGAGGAGAGGGGAGGGAGGGGAGAGAGGGGAGGAGGAGGGGGGTGATGAGGAGGAGGAGGATGATGAGGGTGAGGGTAGGGGTTGTAGCGTGTGCCGCGGGCTGATGGCATCGGGGGTTGACCGGTTAAGAGAGAGAGCCCTGAACGGTTTGAATCCCAATAGAGTGAGACAAGAGGGGAGGGGATAGTAGAGAGGGAAAGGAATGGGGGATTTATACCCACTCACTCTCTTGTCATGTTCATCTACTCCCCTCCCCTCCCTCTTGCACTTACCCGATGTGGACAATCCTCCTACGAAGAAAAGAAGAACGTTCTCTCTCTCTCTCTCTCCTCTCATCACTCTCTCTCCTCTCATCAATCTCTCTCTCGGAGGCATCTCAATCCCTTCAGAAGCGCAGACCGGGCACCACCCCACTCCGGCCACCCACCAGACCCTGACAAGCACAAGCACAAGCGCATTCCAGCCCCCCTCCTTCACCGCGGCATTCCGCCGGTTTGAGCCGAACCCTTTCTGCTGGGAACGGAAACGGAAATCCCTTTCCCTCACTTTGGACAGTCAGTATCCAGCGATCGACATCCCACTTAACAGGCAAGCAAGCCAGTCAGCTCATCCCTCTCCCTCGGTCACATTTCAGCTAGTTGCGTCTTTATCTCTCTATCCAATTATTCGATAAAGAATATTCGCAGCTAGCTGGAGGAGTATCGATATCTTCTAATCTTCTCCTGCGAGTGCGAGTGATAGCGCTTTTGTTCACCTAGCTAGAATAGACGTTAACCTATAGAGTAACAAACCAGAAACCAGCACGCAACGCCTCAAGGCAACAAGGCAACAAAGCAAGGCAACCAGCAACCAGCAACCAAGCCAGGCCCTAACGAAGCCGCAGGAGCTAACCGTGCACATCCCACATTCTTCTTCTCCTTTTGCCTTTCTCTTTCACTGCTCATTGCTGGCCCAACCACGTGCACGCCAACCGGAAAAAGCCAGACCACAGACCAAGGTCTCCCTTCCCCTCGTATCAAACTCCCTATCTGCGTACCATCTAACGATTCTAGTCCTACCAGAGTGCAAGGGAACCACCGGAGGATCCCTCGCTGAACCCCAGCTGCCGAAGCTAGCCAAGGATTTAGAAGCAGATATTAATGGCCGCACTAGCTCTAGCTCTAGGTATGGTATGGTACTTGTTAACGCCGACCGCGCATATGCTGCAAGACCATACAGACCCGGAGACCCTTACCTCCCCCCCCCCACTGCACCAAACATGCCAACCTCAGACCACCTACCCTCGCATCATACGCATACGCACAGTCGTAGGCAAACGCCACCTCCGCGAAGATGTCCGACGCAACTTCTGTAACGTTAACATGATGAACTGGATGTTTGGCCGCCGGCTGGCCACATGAATGAGAGCGCGCCTATTCCCCAGGTTTCAGCTTTTCATCAAGCTCCATCAGTCCAAGATGATGTCACTCTGGCAGTTGATTGGCCACAACACTCAACGGTCAACACCCAGCGCCCAGCACACAGCGCCCAACGCCCACGTCCCACATCCCATTAGTCCCGGCATCCGATATGACTTCCGGCATCGGACGTATCCTCAGCTGAGAAAGAATCCCCTCTGGGCGAGCCAATCTCCACCCCCGATACAGATATAGAATGATGGGAGGAAGGGGGAAGTGGGGGGGAGGGGGGGGGGTGATCATCCCCCTTCCCTAAAATGGACAAAGCCCGGTTGCCGCGGTAGCACGCGCTGACTTTGGGGAAAGAAGGAAAGGATGAGCCGCAGGAGGTTGACAGCTCATGCATAAGCCCAGCTTCTTGATTCTTGCTTCTTGCTTCTGGGAGAGGGTGTCCATCGCGTATTCACGTATGTAACTTCTGCTTCGGGTTCTCTCCTCCCGCCGGGAGAAGCCCCTCCCTACCTCCCGAGTGTGCTTCCCGAACCCAAACCGTAAGCAGTGGCGCCTGTTGAAGAATTCCTGCAATTGCTGTACGTGTGCTTCTGACTTCATCCTCCAGCTGTGATGCGGCTTTCCTCCGCCGTTGTTTGCTGCATATGCGTATGCGTATGTGTATGCGAAGGACCCTCTAGGGTCTTTCTGGAACGTTTAGAGCCACGCGGGCATCATTACAATTACCTAGCATAATTAGCTAGCACAATTAGCCAGTACGAGCGCCACATCAGATCATGGTATAATGGTATCAGGAATGCAAATGTTGCAGGACGAGAAGTGCAGGGTATCGATTTGCGGATGAACGCGGAAAACGGACATAAGCTTGTCCGAGCTGTGTGGGCTTATCCTTCTTCGTCTTCCGCTGGGCGGCGGCACTCGTATCACATCACATCAAATCAACATCTCGGGGTTACGCTTCCCGAGCCTGAACCTGAGTCTGGGTCTGAGCTTGAGCAGCATCAGCAGCAGCCAATATCGCCGCCTCGCCACCAGCCTTCTTCAGCCTAAAACGAAAACGAATGAGCACCACACCTGCGAAAATCAAGCATCACGTACGCGCGGCGGAGTTCTCCTGCAGTCTTCTGCCAGCGGTTTAACTTTCCGTCACGCGCCATCCGCTCGACGTCTGTTCCGTACTTGCGCAGGAGCGCACCAAGCAGCTCTAGCTCGTTGGCCGAGGCGTGTCTAGGGAGCTTGGCGTTAATGGCTTCGGAAGCCAACTTGTCCAGTTCTGGAGTTTGGAGTTTGTGTGAGCTGGGGGGGG